AAGCAAAGCTCCCTACAGCAACGAAACAAAAAAAACTGACAGGCAATAAAATAAAGAGAAAAAAGGATTTTAGAGAAACTCTAAAGCAAAGCTCCCTACAGCAACGTAACAAAAACAACTGACAGGCAATAAAATAAAGAGAAAAAAGGATTTTAGAGAAACTCTAAAGCAAAACTCCCTACAGCAACGAAGAATGAAAAATTGGCAGGCAGTAAAATAAAGAGAACGAAGGGTCTTAGGGGAATTCTAAAGCAATGCTCCCTACAGGAACATAGCAATAAAAATTGGCAGGCAGTAAAATAAAGAGAACGAAGGATTTTAGAGAAACTCTAAAGGAAAGCTCCTTATAGGAACATAGCAATAAAAATTAACAGGCAGTAAAATAAAGAGAAAGAAGTAATTTTAGAGAAACTCATTAGCAAAGCTCCCCACAGGAACGTAACAATAAAAATTGACAGGCAATGAAATAAAGAGAACGAAGGATTTTAGAGAAATTTCAAAGCAAAACTCCTTATAGGAACATAGCAATAAAAATTGACAGGCAGTAAAATAACGAGAAAGAAGGATTTTAGAGAAACTCTAAAGCAAAGCTCCCTACAGGAACGTAGCAATAAGAATGAACAGGCAGTAAAATAAAGAGAACGAAGGATTTTAGAGAAACTCTAACGAAAATCTCCCTATAGCAACGTAGCAATAAAATTGACAGGCAATAAAAAACAACGAAGGACTTTAGAGAACCTCGAAAAGAAAGTTTCCTACAGCAACGTAGCAATAATAATTTACAGGCTTAAAATAAAAACAACGAAGGATCTTAGGGAAACTTTAAAGCAAAGCTCCCTACAGGAACATAGTAATAAAAATTGACATACAGTCAAAAAAAGAGAACGAAGGATTTTAGAGAAACTCTAAAGCAAAGCTCCGTACAGGAACGTAGCTTGAAAAATTGTCAGGCAGTAAAATAAAGAGAACGAAGGATTTTAGAGAAACTCTAACGGAAAGCTCCCTACAGCAACGTAGCAATAAATTTGACAGGCAATAAAACAAAAACAACAAAGGCTTTTAGGGAAACACTAACGCAAAGCTCTCTACAGCAACTTGGCAATAAAAATTGACATGTTGGCTTTTGAGAAACTCAAAAGTAGAGTAAGTTATAGTAAGTGATAAACGAAAGTTAATACGCAAGGAAATAAAAATAAAAGTGGTTTTTAGAGAAGCTTTTCAAAAGAGCTACCAGCAGTAAGTTAGAAAGAGAAATTCATGCGGAAGGAAACAAAAATATAGAAGGTTTTTAGAGAATTATTTTTACAAAGCTAACAACAGTGAGAAACTTTTCATCAAAAGTAACGTATAGTAAGTCATGAATAGAATTTAATTCTCAAGGAAAAAATACATTTTGAAATATAATGGTAATTTGAAAAAAAAAAATTTCCTTAGAAAGTATAAGGTTGACACTTCAGAATTAAAGGTCTGCACTTCAGAATAAAAGCACAAGGATCCATGGAATTTAAGTTTGTAAGTTTGGAATTTGAAGGAAAGGGAACCGACATACCTGCAAAAGTCATACAAGTTCTTATGAAGGTTTTAGTCCAGATCTCATTCATATCCAATTTCTAGGTGTTCAAAGCATCAACTGGCTATATTGATGGAGCTTTGAAGAGGAATTTGTCAGCCCTAGGATTTGAACAAAAAGTAACATTGTGAGTAGTTGAAAAAATATTTCAATAAAGTTTAAGAAAATGAAAGTTTCTGGAATTTTGTCCAAAAGAACAGAGTCCAGAGCTAAAAGCAAGACCTAAAAAACCGAAGAAAACCAACCAAACTGTTTATCAGTAAAGGAGATCTGGAGAACGTTATCGAGAAAGTCTGAAATTAAAAAGTCGTTTCAATCAAAGTATCTAAATCATAGATGGCTTTTTGATTGTTAACATTTTTTCAACGTTCTAAAAAAGCAACAAAATTTTGTTTTCAAAACTGAATTGCCAAAAAATTGACATTGGTTTTCCTAATGAAGGGTAGTATCGTTGCTAAGAGGATATCTTCAAAAGTAGCATCAGTGAAGGTAATGTCACAGTAGTTAAAAGTAATATATAATGATTTACATTAGACTTTGATTGGCATCACATTGCAGGCTTAGTTTGCAAGAATTTGGATAAATTAAACAAGTGAGGATATTGCCTAAATTCTTCCTAAACTTTCAATATTTTAGTCATAGCCTTAAAATCCACAAAACAATATGCAGCTGTGTCCTACATCAAGCTACTTATGAAACAGACCAGAAGTGAGGGAGCCAAAATAAGAAATCCACACAGACACGCCCTTTATTAAAGGTTACACCCAAAAATGATGTAAAGAATTAGTTGCTACATTATCTGCAGACGGAAGGAAAGTTTTGTAATGCATTCATTCCGGGGGACAATGCATAAATATTAATAACATTATTTTATGGGAAAAGAATCTTTATTATTGAAATTAAATTAATGGCAATCTCGGCCTAAATATCTATAAAAAAGGAAAATGTTTGTGAGGAATTCAAAACTGTCTACTCTTGATTTGAAATTATATAACAGTAGAAGAAAGTGGTAACTTTGTGGTTTCGTTTGGGGATGTCAGGGACTTTTATCCTGCCAAAAATTATAACTATTTAATGAACATTGATTCAGAGGAACATTTGAATGACGAATGAAGCAAAAAATTAAAAACAATGGGCAGCAAGGGATTGATGAAGGGAGGGGATTCAGGGGCTTGCCCTTAAAAAAAATTTAAGGACCAAGCCCTCTGAATTGTACAAAAACATAACTACAACAAGAGTGAATATAAAGTCATTATTCTCATTTCGGCTGGAAAAATTCCTTGGACCATTATGCTCTAACGAATCACTGCTGACATAGGCTCTGATATTAAAAGATTAATTTAATCACAGATAATCTGGTTTCCATCTTTGCTATGCTTTAAAGAGCAAAATCTTCTCAAGGCTAAGTATACAAAGGAAAATTACAGAACATTTTGGCAAAATACATTCAGTTAAAAGATGAATTTATGAAATCTTTGTGGCACAAAAGAAAAGGAGGTTTTCCAAACAGAATATTAACATTCTTTTAGGAACAGTGACTAAATTCAGAGCATTAATTAAGCAAGATTTAAAACAATATAGAAATATAAAAATGATATTGATGTCCTTAGATTGCAAAATCTTTTTGAAGACAGCAAGGAATGGTAAGTGTGAATTGCAAAGCATCTGATTGCTTGCAGGAGTGCAAGGAGGACTGTTTCTATCATCAAGATGGCATTTATTTAATGAAAATTATATTCAGCTTTGGTGGAAACAACATATGATACACTGGAAAAAGCCTTATTTGTTGGTAGCTCTTTTAGTTTGCTTCACATTTTAAAATACTTGATTTGAAAGAAAGATTACATTAGATGAAAGATACATCAGATTTGAAAGATACATTAAATTATATTTTTTGGCAAAATTCTATATCATAATTAACTACCTGGCTTTTGGTTCCAAAGTTTTCCCATCAAGACAAAATACCACAGAAATCAAAGCAGGATGCAAATATCCATGACTCTACATAAAACAAATTTAGACATGAATTTATATATCATGTAGATCATCAAAATTTAAGTATATAGTCTTTCACAAACTGGCATTGATTTTTTTTTAGTTTCAATGCTGTGTTTAAAAATCTTATATCAAAACTTTTAACCATTCTGTTGGGGTCTTGGAATATTTGCTCAATAATTTCTTGTAATGGTTATCAACCTTTACATTTAAAGGCTGATTCACTTTTACATTCATATCCAAATAAAATTTTCATTTACTTAAGTATGTATAATTAGAAAATTGTTGTGTTTTTTTCTTACAAAAGAAAAATGAGATAGTGACTTTTGAAATCATCTTACATTGAGCTGCAATCCTTCAGAGCAGATTAAATGCTGGTCAAATGAAATTCTATCAGAGCTTTTTTGATGAGAGATGTTAAAGAATTTGAAATCATTAAGGGTTCTTATTTTCTTTCAATTTTATTAATCAAATTTAGGTTCAAAGTTATGCTATTAAGCCTTAATTTGCTGTTTTGATGCCTTTGGGAATAATGGTGAAGTTGTAGTTGGGTTTTCTTGGGTGAAAGTTGTTACAGAGAGTGTAAGTAAGTGTTTTGGATAGGGCTTCTTGATTTTTATGTATGCTCTTGCCAGGCTGTTCTCTTCTCCTGTCCCTCTCTCCCCTTCTGGTTTAAAGTAAAGTGTGTTTCTTCAAATCCTCTATAATTTTACCTCATAGGGGTTTGGGCTTATTCACATAACAGGATTCAATTAACAGATTATTATGATTTCATTAAGGGTAGACTTGGCTCTTTAAGTTTTGTTTCTGTTCCCCTCTAATACTTTATGCAACTAAGGTAGGATGGTGCATCAGCTCCCTGGTGGGGATAAGCTGCCTTGTTACTTGAATCAATCAAGTTATATCTATAACTGCGGATCATCTCTGGCCCACAGCAAAATGTCATCCTGCCTGCCGAAAACATTTTACCTCAAAAATATTTGTTGCCAACATTTTCAAAATTTGGAATTCAATTTATCTTTGGTTTTCCTTTGTCCCCTCTGATATATTTTTTTTCTCTGTAATAAATTTTAAATGCGTTCCATGGACAGTTATTAGTCCAAAAGGGAATAACAAAATAGGAAATGCCTTGTTTCCTTTTTCATATCTACAGATGAAACTATGGGACCTAGTCAAGAATATGCCTTGAATTTTCTCTCGTTAAAATCTAACTGAGGTGTTGTTTCTGGCCATTCCTAGATTAATATAGCCTAAAATTTTTCTTGCCGCCAACCATGGTGGTGGCCTTGACTAAATACATCCACAAACATAAGATTTTGGCCTTTCTTTAAAATACGCTGTGCAGTCCCTTGACCTGACTTCAGGCACTTCAAATCGACCCAACAAGAGACTAACGACGATGAACGTTCTAGCCTAAAAATAGAATAGAACGATTTCCTGACTCAGCCTGGTACAAGAAACATAAAGTTACAGACCTTTGTGAAAATTATTTTTTGGGTTTATGCGAAGGTAGATAAGATAGGCAGGCACGAAATAAAAGGGCTGTCTATTTTAACACTAACTTAGCCTGGTAAAAATAAGATCTGAGTTTCATTTTGAGCAGCCTACACAAGGTATGTAAAAGTTGAAAACCAACTGGCCCCCAAAGAAATTCTATATGTTTTTCTGGCCCGGCATTTAAAATAATTAAGAATATCTGGTCTAGGGCTTTATATGTGATTATTGATAGATTTTTATCAAGGCACCAACAGCCAAATGCGGAAGTGAAGGCTCAACACCTGATTTGAAGAATGGTAAAAATCGATTAAGAACCTAAGATAACAAAGTGATAGAAACTTCCACTAGAAAATAGCCCTTCTTGTTGCTTAAAGTCTATTCAACACTCTATAACACGCAAAACAAAATGATTCTAAACGCCACAAACAACAGACAAGAACAAACACAAAACATCACCGAGCATAAAAGTGTGACATGCCAATGGAAGTGTCTTCTGAAGTAAATAATATTTTTAGATTTAAAGAATTCATTTTTTATTGTTTTCTTCCCTGAGAAATTAATCTCTTTACGAGTTTTTTACTCGAAAGAGTTTTAATAATTTTGAAAAACAAATCTGAGAGATTGCAATCAAGAGCCCTATATGACACAGCGATCAATATTTGCCACTCTCTAGAGAGTGGCAACTTGGGTTGGTGACTTCATGGCATAGCACCCACGAACAACATCCTATGAAATAATCCCAATTGTAGTTTCTCTAGTTATTGCATGCAATGTAATTTTAGAACATAACTTACAGAAAAGACGGCGCTAAAAACACCACAGGGATTGATCAGAAGCTGGCCTAACATCATATGGCTTTATAAAATAACAGTAGCAACAAAGACATACCTTCGGCCTTTAACTGTTCAACATTACAATATATTTATCTAACATCTTGTCGCATAGTAAATATCAATTTTCTTGGAATAACTATAACACGTGAGCCGCTTATGACGAAAACAACTTTCTTCGAAGCCATGTTTTTAATCACACGAAAGGCGAATAGCATTCTGGGTAGTAAAGCTCCTTCGTCGATACGTGTTGACGAAAGAAGATATCTCTACTGTTTTCAAACAACTGCTTTTTGGTCATATGGAAAATCAGAGGTACTAATTATATTTTAAAGAAAAAGCTAGCTAAAAAGATAAAGAAAACGACGAAATTTATTACGGACGCAAAAATTGACAATACTAAAAAATTGAGAAGAAGAATCCATGTTGACAAAGAACTGCCTTAAGTTAAATTGTTGGGGAAGAATAAATTTGATGTAGCTGTAACTATCTAAAATTTGTTAGAAAAAGCCAGTGAAAGAAATTTTGATAAAATGAGATATCAAAAGTAGCCAAGGCATAAAAGTTGCGAAGGAATCACTCAAGGATGACGTCAGACTTCGCTCGTCAGACTCATATTTTTCTCTCGCATTCGCTAATACAGATGAAATTTATACATATATAAAGTACGGATTAACTGTATACCATCTACTTAATGGATAAAAAGTCTACCTGCGGGATGTAATTCTTGTAAATCATTACGAGGACCATAAAAACCTGTGTATAATCCACACTTGTTTAATCATTGTAGTTTTTATTTTCTATGGAGTAGCCCCAACTCAATCCTTTGTTTTCCTTCAAGCAAAATGATCTAGTGAAAGAACAAAGGGAAGACTAGCCCATTGAACGATGAAAACGTTATCGCATCGCCGGGTGTTGCAAGGGGCATTCATCTTGTTATTTAGAGAATTGAAAATTTTTGGCATTTGAAAAAGGAAACTGGTTTCCCGGATCTAGAAAAAATCTGGAAAATATAACGTTCGGCTTATCGATAATTTAGAAACACTGGGCTTCTTTTCCGTTTATTTTGCCTACAAATCTTATTTTCTTGATTAATTACATACTTCTCCAAGGGTATTATCTAAAGCTGATACTAAATATACTCGGTGAAGGTTATAGGCAGGTTTTGAGATTTACATTAAAGATTGTAAAATACCCAACTTTAATGTTTTATAGAATT